AATAAATTTAGTGAGAAAGTGGTAATTATTTTGACACTTTTTTTTAAATGCCTCTTTTTCTGCAAATGCATTGCCTTTCTCAATTGTCCTTTTTTTTATGGAATCACTAAGTATAATGATTATTAAGTAACTCAAAAACTATACCAGCGTGATTACCGACGTATCCTTTTGAGAGGTAGCCGCACCCTTATAAGAGGAATAAGACCCAAACTTTTCAGGTCAAAATTTCAGTAGGTTGCGTCTGTATGGCCTTTTCAATTTTATAATTTATCATTGTTTTTGAGTGGAAAAATAGGTGACAGGTAATAAGATCAAAGGAAATAAGGTCAATTGACTTTATTTCCCACCCTGGTGCGAAATAAAGTCAATTGACGTTATTACCTTTTTAAAAACGAAATAAAGTCCATTGACATTATTTCTCTTTCAAACATTAAATTTGCTTAGCTTCGCGGCAGCGTCTGGCGCTCACACCACGTCACGCTACGCCGCGGCCCCCCGGCCCCCCTTCCCCGTCTCCCGCCGTGCTGTAACATAGGTAGATTTATTTTTTGTAAACGTTGAAATAAAATTTTTATATATTTTAAACATCGAGGGCTTATATTCAATAATACCCTCTATCTGCACATTTTTCACAAAGATGAGATTCTGATATAAAAATCCACCTAAGCTTTAACTGTCATCAGTGATATTAATGTTACCTTATATAACCACAGGTAATAAGTCCCAGATGGTTTCTAAAATCACAAATTAGTTTTTGTGCAAATTGCAGATAGAGGGTATTAATGAATTCAAGCCCTCGATATTTCACATTTTTATATTTGTAAGTTATTGAAAGCAGGGATGCCAACTTGGCTCAAACCGTGCCATTTGTTCCTATTTTACTTCAAATGGCACTTAATTTTTCAATTTGGCACAAAATGCCAAAATGCACTTTTGTAAAAAAATAACATTTCAATACATTTTTGTGAAATCCTTTGCGTGCACTTCTTTTTCTCAACTAAAACTTTCTAATTTATAAAGGCTTTTCAACTGGTTTATCTTATTTTATCATTGCTCTTTTGTTTTGAAAATGTGGCTTTAGTTTATTGCTGAATGTGAATGATTAAAAGGAATCACACCTTTTTTGGCACTTTTATTTTTCTATTTGGCACATTTTGGCACTTTTTTTATCCTCAATATGGCACCTCATAACTAAGGATAGTTGGCAGCCCTGATTGGAAGATTTGTGCTATGTTTTGAGGCAACAACTTGTCTGCAGTAAAAAAGCATATAATTTGTGTTTCAAAGGTGTGTGAAAACCAATCAATTAACTTATATGATCTCGGTTCCGATATTAAATAATCAATAATTGTGTATACCCGCATTTTGGCACATTGGCTCGTTGAATGTGCCATCTAATAAGTAGTGTCGTCGTTCTGCTTAGCTGCTTTTAAATGACTTCTGGCGGAGACATAAATACAGTGTAAGAAAATTCTTTTTTTATAATTGTTTCCTTATAGAAAGGTTGGGTTATTTTCCACCTTAGACATTCCGAATTCGTTCAAAATATGCTAATTTAAAACACAGAATCCTTTCAGTGCTCCTCCGGGGTTTTTGGACATGTACTGTTTCTTCAATTTAATAGTGTTCGCTTTATTTTTGTAGAAACCAAAAATGTTTTGCAAGTTATGGATCATTTCTCCACTCTTTCTTCAAATATTTCTCGTATTCCAGCTGTGCGCAGGCGTTTAGTTTTTCGCATCGTGTTTTTACATATTCGTAATTTAAATTCTTTTTTTAATAGAATCAATTGGTGGTAGTTCATGATTGTGTGTGGATTAATATCACAACACTGAGGATTTGGCAAAAGCCTTTTTCATCTATTAAAAAACAACACTTACGGGGCAATGTTTATTGTAAGAACAACATTTTTTTCTATGAATCGACATACTTTAAGCATTGTTGACGCTATTTCCATTTGAATGAGGAAATAGCGTCAATGACTTTATTTCCAAATTTTTGTTGACTTTATTTCGCTTTTGAAAAGGTAATAATGTCAATTGACTTTATTTCGCACCAGGGTGGGAAATAAAGTCAATTGACCTTATTTCCATTGACCTTATTACCTGTCACCGAAAAATAAAACTCAAAATTAATGATAATCTCTGCGCGAAAAAATAAAAATCATAAAATAATCATTATTTGTAATCCCAAAAATAAAAATCAAATAATAATTATTTCCGTTTGTGCGAAAAAATAAAACTTATTAATAATTCATAAAATAATGATTAAATGCTGATTTAAGTTATTTTACTCATAATGATTACCTTCCCTGCTTTTAAAATTTGAAATAAAATAGTTTAGTGAAAGTACCACATTTCACTGCTTTTGGACTGGTGTGGGCCTAGTTACTATCAACTGATTCGTTTTTGGCACAAAAGAACTAGTACTGAACTAGAAATCTGGTTCATTAGTTCGTGTTTTCCCTACAGGGTTACGTTTGAATGAGTTTGCGTTCACTTTGTTACGCTCTCGCATGTATGTATACGCCACGGTTTCCATTTTGGCCAAAATGTACCATTTTCGGCACATTTTTTCTAGTTTGGTACACTGGTGCACAACTTTTGGATTTGGTACATTTTTAAAATCGTACGAAAATAGATAATTGTAATTTAGATATATAACTACGTTTTGTATTGTTTTTATATGTATGTACTATTACCCGGCCTTAAACATATGTTTTAGAATAAGTTTTTCTTGAAATTTATTAATATCAATATATATTATAAAGTGACGAGTTGTAAAATGATAAAGTGAAAAAGAAAACCCTTTATTCAGAGAATGTGTAATGTGTATATCAATATATATTATAAAGTGACGAGTTGTAAAATGATTAAGTGAAAAAGAAAACCCTTTATTCAGAGAATGTGTAATTGTTCCTTTTTTACACTTTGGTCCAAAAAAAATGAGGTAAGTGGCAACCGTGGTATACGCATGTAATGCTTAAGGCCCGTCCACATAGAACTTTGGCGTTGCGTTGGCGTTGGCGTCGCTTCAACAGCTGACTATGAATACATGAATTCAAATGCAGCCGTCCAAATAGCCAAAATTCGACACCGCTCACGCCAACACAAAGCAAAAAGATGGCCAACTCTCAACTTTTCGCGTGCGTCGCTCGTCAGCTGTTGCAAATAAATAAAATTATGTGAAATAGTTTGCCTTTTTAATCAAGTTCGGGCAAGAAATATCGTTTCTAACGCAATTATTGATATGAAATATTAATTTATCTGTCGTTAGTATGTTAATTTAGTGGCCTAAGCACTCGCTGCCAAGCGTTCATTGTAGCAAGCATACTTTAAACGTGCGTTCTGTCAAACCAACGCCAACGCCAAAGCCAACGCGAAAGTTCTATGTGGACCGGCCTTTACGCTCTTTAAGCAGGCGCTTACTCTCTGTCCATGCTTGTATACAGTGTTGCCAGAACTTTTCAGGGCGACCGGCTAGATTGCACAAAAAAAAACGGCTAAAATGTTTCAACCAGAATTAATTTTTTTTTTAAATACATAAACTACAATTAGAAAGACTAGTCAATCCATTGAATTTTTTTGGTTAATAAAGATTATTTATACGTAGCTAAGCTGTACACCACTTTATTTTTGTTTAACAAAGGAAACTGTCGTTATACGTAGCTAAGCTTTACATCAGAAGTCATGTTTGTATTACTTAAATATAAAAACAGAGATAAATTACAAACTTATGGCGTTTTCTTTTCTATTAAACAATTTTGCCTTCTTATAAACATTGGATCATTTTCAGTAGGTTGCTTTTTGTCCCGCAAAATGGCTATATTAGCTGAAAGTATGGCACTTTTGCTTAGTCGGAGGGCAATATTTTGAGAAATGAACACGTAAAGCTGTGAAAGCAGAAGGCATTGACATTCGTTGTTTTTGCCGACCACTTCACTTTTAACAAGTTTATGACATTTAACTAAAATCATGCCACCAGATTCACTAGCAGAAAAATTTTTGTTTCTTAAAAAAGTAGAAAAATTTGAGAATTTGAAGTTAGTGAAGTTGGATGAAAATATTAAAAGTGTTGCGCGTTTCCAAACTGCCAGAATTCGGTACACCTGAGCAAACGTTCGAATATAAAGTTTTTTGCTTTTCCGAGGTAGGGTACGTACCCTGCAGGGAGTGACGTTAGCTTATACCTAACTTTAGTCTGTTT